TGCGCATTTTACTTTCACTTTAGAATTAGCGGCAGTTAGGCGTCAATTGCTTGAATGCAACAACAAAATACAGTACAACGTCAAACTTACTTTAGCGTATATATAAAACATAAAACTTTTATTAACAAAACAAATAAAAATACACCATGCTACAGGGCAAGCTATGCCTAATATAAGATAACAAATAACTTACATAAAGTTTAATAGGTAAAACTGGAAATAAGTAAACATGTATAATATATAACCAAATAAATAAGAAACGTTGAACATTTATATAAAGTAAAAATCAGCAAACAATGTGGAACCAAATTAAATAAGGAATGTTTAAAAAAACTTCCAAAATCACCTTTGATAAACGGCAAAAGTCAATAGGCTTTTCAAAATCCAAAATATTGTTTGAAGCCGAAAAAAGTGCATCCATCCATCATAAAAAGTGCTCCACACGGCTCCGGGGGTTAATAAAGGCTTTCTGAAGTGAAGCGGTGTATTCACGAGAGAGTGTTGTTCCAGCAGATGATATATATAAAGTATCTTTATATATAATGTCATATTTACTTCTAGTGTCTTTAAAATATTGTTAAAATTTACTGATGAATATACTAAAAAGCATTTATGGTAAACTAAAATACACTTTGATGTCATTTCTATTGAAACTTGCATTGAATGTATTTCAATATATTTGTAATTACACAAACTAGTAAGAGTGTGAAAAGTTTTAAGAGAGTTCACTTTACAAAACTGTTACAAAAAACCCATAAATCATGTTAACAGTCTTGTATAAAACTCCCAATCTAAATCAACTGACTGTTACACAGCAATTGTTGCTCTTCTTCCTACAGACTCATGCAAACACTGAGATTAAATCACAGACAGAAGTGGCGGCGCCAGTACCTTGATGATTTCCACCAGCTGATCCACTCCGCTGTCGCCAGGGAAAATTGGTTGTCCTAGCAACAGTTCCGCCAACACGCAGCCAGCTGACCACACGTCTGCAGTGAAAGCGGGTCAGAGAGATACTTATTAGCCAGAGGTCAAGGACTCGTACACAGAGCACATCCTAAACTCACTGTACGGCCTTGCAAAATCACCAACAACACGTCAAACAAAAAAAGCACAAAACAGTGCTCTACAAAAATCCACGAGTTCATGAAAGATCCTTCAGCTTCATAATCTTTTTATAGGGCCTATTTTCTGAAAGAATGGTGCAATTATTTGACCTTTCAACGGCCGATACAATATTTAGAGATCAAGGTGGCCACTATCATGTAAAACCAATTGAATCGCAGTCAATAAAAATGTGAAAGAAAATAAATACATAAATAAATATAACTAAAACAACTAAAATTACATTAACAATATTTTTACATAACATTTACTCAAAATCTACTCCAAAATATAAAATCTATCATAAATAGATTAGATTAATAAAATATCAGCATAATATTTGGCCTAGCTGATACATCAGTGCATTTTCTTGTAAAAAAAGAAGTGCAATTAATTGTTTTGATTGTGTACTTCACATCTTTAAAGTATATATTTTTAAAACTGTATTTGCAGATAATATAAATTAATAAATCAAAAGTGTACTCAAAGAGTTCCCTTTCATGAATATGTTTCTTGACACACTTAAAAAATGCACTTTGTAATGTTACATTTTTACATTTTAAATCATTGTTTTAATATTTTGTTGAGTTTGATGTGTTGACTAATATACTGAAGCACATGTAAAATACTCAGTTATAATTTTAGTTCATAAACACATTATTGTTATTATGTTAATTCTAAAACTAAAGATATATTTAAGTCCTGATTAAGTGTGCCAAAAAAACAAAACAACTAACTAACGTTCAGCTAACTGCATTAGTTATAAATCAAACTATAATACCTTTGTATTTAATTGCAAATAACATGCAATTAAGTGTCTGGAAACATTATATTTACTTAATTACACTTTTTAAAAATGCTACAGTATACTTCTTTTTCACAAGGGTCACTTTTGTCATGAATTTGCATATTTATCATGATAAGAGGTGATAGCAACATAAAGGAGGAGTAGTTTTTTGAAGCAGAAATGATTTGCATGGTAGTACGATTAAAGCTCATGTACCTATGCTAGAGGTGTAGTCGGTTGCTCCAAAGATGAGTTCGGGGGCTCTGTAGTACCGTGAGCATATGTAGGAAACATTGGGCTCCCCACGTACTAACTGCTTAGCACTGCGAACAAAAAGACAGATTGAACAATCTCTGATCACACACATCACCATTTCATTCAAATATTCTGCCTTGTGGAGCTTATTGGCAGGATAAACCCCTAAAAGTAACTCTAAATGGCAAATGAGCTAAGAGATCTAAAGTGACCTGAAAGCTAAAGACGGTTTCTTTGTTTAGATGGTAAGCGAGTTGCTAACATTTTAAAAGCATCTCAAGGCCGCTTGCAGTGTACATGAAGACTGCTGCTAATCTGTGTCCTCATTCAAGGAAAATTTGCATTATTTTTGTCTAAGTCCTCAGTATAAGGTATTCATTAACAAGAGGCAAAATCGCATGCCCTAGTTTTCAGACGCAAGGCAAAGGAGAAATGGATACCCGAATATCACTTCACCTAAAATCTTCACTAGTATTCTTAGGCAGAAAAATGTGAAAAGCACAGAGGTCAGCACAGATATCTCCGAGCATAGCGAGACCATCTGGAGGCCTCTGGTGAGGTGTAATATGGGATTATGAGGTTAAATGCAGTAAAGCGTTGCTTTCGGACCTTTGAAAGGTTATCAGAAAACCATTGTCTCCTATGAATTGGCTGTCAAGAGATTACCAACTGACCTGCCAAAGTCACAGAGTTTGAGCACGGCTGTGTCTGGGTCCAGCAAAAGATTCTGCGGTTTGATGTCCCGATGGCAGATCCCAAAGGAATGGATGTAGGCCAGACTCCTGAAGAGCTGGTACATGTACAACTGTAAAGTAAATATACACAAGTCATGAGGTTAGTAAAGCAGTCATAAAAACAGGTCACAAAAAAGGTACCCTAAAAATGCATAATATAATTTTGTTTTTTTATATCGCTCGTAATATCAAATGATTTACTGAAACTCTAATGATAATTCTCCAGATCTGTTGTTTCAAATCCAAAATACTTTCTTTTGTCCATGGAACACAAAAGGTGAATTTTTGAACAATATAATGGCTGCTTTGTTCCATATAATGAAAGTAAATGGGGACTAGTGCTGTCAAGATCGAAAATGACTTAAAAACCACCACAGTACTTTTTAAGGGTCATAAAAGTTTTCTATTTGACTATTCTGAAGTAATATGGCAAATATGGCACCACTGATATTAATGGCATTTTATCATATCCATTTGTCCATTTTTGGAGAGGGGAAGATTATCAGAGAATAATGATTTTTGATCTGTTCATTACCAAGACTTGGAATATAGTTCATGAGTCATATGGAGTACTTTTATGCTTCTCTTATGGTGGTGAGCCCCTAGTCCACATTCACATTCATTATATGCAAAGATGTGGCCACAAAATTCTTCAAAAATACACCTTTTTTGTTCCACAAATAAAAGAATGTAAATAGGTTGTGTAATTGTATTTCCCTTACCATTATGTTTTTCCTTACATAATGACAAGAAAATAATGACACTTGTTTAATGAAATATTAATTTAAAGCTTTTTTTGGGGGGGAATAAATAGAATATTGTATATTCTTCATAAAAATTCCCATGGAGTTACAAAATTCAATTAATTTACATGACATTTTCAGGTTTAGAAATCACACTTTAAAGGTATAGTTCATCCAAAAATGAAAATTCTGTCATTAATTACTCACCCTCACGTCGTTCCAAACCCGTTCATTTTCAGAACACAAATTAAGATATTTCTGATGAAATCCGAGAGCTTTCTGACCCTGCATAGACGGCAATGCAACTGACATGTTCAAGACCCAGAAAAGGTAGTAAGGACATCGTTAAAATAGTCCATGTGACATCAGTGGTTCAACCGTAATTTTATGAAGCTACGCAAAGAAAGCTGCGCAAAGAAAACAAAAATAACAACTTTATTCAACAATTTCTTTTCTTCCGTGTCAGTCTTCGACGTGCGTTCACGAGAGTATAGTAGAATCTGCATGTGTCGTGGTACTCTTGTGGTGGTACTCTTTTGTTTTTTGCTTTCTTTCTGCATAAAAAGTAATCTTGTAGCTTTATAAAATTACAGTTGAACCCCTGATGTCACATGGAGTATTTTAACGATGCCTTTACTACCTTTCTGTGTCTTGAATGTGTCAGTTGCATTGCTCTCTATGCAGGGTCAGAAAACTCTCGGATTTCATCAGAAATATCTCAATTTGTGTTCCCAAGATGAACAAAAGTCTTGCGGGTTTGGAACGACATGAGGGTGAGTAATTAATGACAGAATTTACATTTTTGGGTGAACTATCCCTTTAAATGTTTGTTTTGTCCTTAATCATTTTAAGTAATCCTGATGTCCTCTTTAATATGAGCTGAGACCCCCTGGTTGAGAACCACTAATTTAACTTCTAAGTGGAAAGTTTTCACATATAATTGTATCTTTACATATGTTTACGTATGTGTGTGTTTGACTATTTATGTCGCATCCTGCCAATAGCAGGAAGGATATAGCTCAGGACGCGGCACAAAGCAGTGATGATGCCATCACAGCAGTCAAGACACTGGTGACGCAAAACCGCACAGGAGGAGGGGGAAGAAATGCCAACACACACTCGGCTGACCCGTATACTCACCAGCGGGAACAAAACCTAAGGTTTTCATTCAGGATGTACACATCACTCACACAAACACACATTAGGAACGATCCGCACCTTCACATAAACCATGGGAAGGGTCTGCTTAGCGCGGCTGTAGTGTCTCGCCACTCTGTAGACGGTCTCAGGGACGTAGTCCAGAACCAAATTCAGATACACCTCATCCTTCTGTGGACAGAGAACAAGAAAGCAAATACTTTAAGTCACAGAGTTAAAGGGGTCATATGATGCTGCTAAAAAGAACATTATTTTGTGTATTTGGTGTAATGAAATGTGTTTATGTGGTTTAAAGTAAAAAAAACACATTATTTTCCACATACTGTACATTATTGTTTCTCCTCTATGCCCCGCCTTTTTGAAACGCGTCGATTTTTACAAAGCTCATCGGTCTGAAAAAGCGAGGTGTGCTGTGATTGGCCGAATACCTCAAGCGTGAGACGGAAATGTTACGTCCCTTGCCATATTGTGATGCCCTGTCCGGCCGGAGCGATGATTCAAAAACATTAAAACCCATTACAAACGAAGCATTTGTTGCATCCAGTGGGGACATAATTACTGATTATAATGACTTATACTCTCTTTTTACTCGTTGCGTTGCATTGCATCGCGCCGCGTAAACATAAAACTCTGTCTGCATTTGTGATCAGAGAAATTACAAACAACAAGTGCTACTCTACTGCCCAAAACTCGCGTTTGAATCATCAGTGGCAAATCCTTTAAATGAAAACGTACTTACGTGAGTCAGAACTGCCGGCATTTTAGTCTAACGTTACTCTCCCAGGATCAGTAAACAGTCCTCCATAAAATGCGCTGCACACATCTG